AAAAAATTCGGTTTCTATATATCATAAAAAAAAATCATTTGGAAAGTATTTTTGCACTGATCGTCGAAAATATAACAATACCGACTTTTTCAAATTAAACGCTATGTTATAAGTTTATTAAGAGATAATTAGAATTGTTAAAACTACTTTAAACTTTATGTAACTTTATGAAAATATAGTTTAAGGTTTCATTGAATTCCTGATTATTTTGTAAACTTATCTTTTAAATTATTTTATAATGTTAATTGTTTCTAGTTACTTACTTTTAGTGATTATAGGGCACTTGATTAGAAAAATTAGAAAATCTTCAGTTTAATTTTGACCTGCTTCGGTCTGTGTGCATAGGCCTTCTCATTATAAGTTACATTAATTTTTTGTATAAAGGGTTGATCGATGCTATTACCGGTGAGAGTGTATATGTATTTACTTAAAAATATTATGAAAATAACGATATATTAAATTTATTTCAACCCAGCCCTTAGAGTTTTTAAAAGCTCTAGTGGAAATAGCAAAAATTGTTTTTAAAAAGCATATTAAGTCATTGTTAAATGTGTTAATTAACGCTTAGAGACAAAGTTCGTAAATTTAATCTATGCACGGGAACCCAACTTTTCCGCAAATACATGCTACATTACAATAGAGAATAATTTAGTCCAAGGCCTATATTGAATAAGGAATGGGAAAGATTAGGGTGCGTCAGTCTATTAATAATGTAAGCGTGCTAAGCCAATATCAGAGAGGAAATTTAACAAATGTTCTCTTTTTTGTAATGTAGAACTATCTACAATCCACTATTCTATCACCCAAAATTTACAAGTATTCTTAAGATAAACAATTTTTTTTTTGTTTCCAATGCGTTATATAATACTAATACACCGCTCGATTTTATCCCCCCAAGATTTGTTGAATACGACTCCAAAGAGCATAAAACGTATTATTAAAGAAATTAACTTTGAAGTGTTATATCTATAAAATTTAAATTTGTATTAAAATATAAAATTTTTTTTCGCTAAATATTTGAGTCTTTATTTCATAAAGCAATGCAAAGTTAATAGTTTTAATGAGAAACTTTACTTGCATTAACTACAGCGAATGAAGGTCATGATACTACTATCCATGTTTGTTCACATAAAATTTTACATCTTTTCTGAGTAATATTAATGTTTGTACCGCTGGTATTTTATGCATTAAAAAAATAATTTTTTGATGGACATATTATCCTCTTCATCAATAGTATTTTATCACCTATTCAACAATTTAAAAATTTACTAGATTCAAACGCCTGGTTCACAAAACAAACTAAAAGAAATTGGAAGACGAATTTTGCTATCTCATTTATACTTAAGGATACTAAAGATACTTGCAACACTTATGGCATAACGTACCTTCTAAAAGAAGTTTCTATCAAAAACATGCAATGATAAATAGCTTAATTATCCTTTATCTTTAAAAGCAAACTTATTTTATGAACTGACTGAGTGTGTTATGCAAAATTGCAAAACAGACTTCCAACTTTGTTAATCCCATTGGAACGAATTAAAAAAGATTTATCGGCCTGATTTAACGTTTAGCTATGGATTGTGATTTTTTAAAAATTAGAGATAGAAATTTTCCCAAGGTATAAAAAAGTAGGGTTTTTAAAGCAGCACTTCTTGTTAATTCAAGCTACAAAACTTTAGAACAGTTAAAAGTTTTTTTTGTGGGCACCGGAAAGCTGAGCTTCTCTGAGATTAAGGGGTAATAGTCCTTATTACGCGTTTTATAGTGAACTTAATTTAGATATTAAGGTAATAAATTGACGTAATCTTGTAGTTGGAACAATGAAATAAACAAAAAAATGTAAAAGTAAACAAAGGAGCTGGTCTGATACAAATGAGTGCTGTTAAAATTTATGTATTATAGTAATTTTTTTTTAAAAATGGGACTTTAGGCTCTCTGACGAGTTTTTACAACCAAACATATATTGTTATATAGCATATTGCATCTTATCCTGAAGTGCTCTTTCACGTAACAAAAGCTAAGTAGATATGGGCATTGTTAGTACTTATTTTTAATTTTAACCTAATATCCATTTGGTACTTAATAACAAAATTTTACATATTTTCTGTGTACTAAGACTTTTGTTAACTAAAAAAAATTTTTTAAATTCTAAAATTATACTTTATTACGTTTATAACAAAGTTTGTGTAGTTCAATATCTTTAAAGTCGGAAGTTAGATATTCTACGAAAGGTTTCACAAGATTCTCGAGAGTTCCTTACTTAGGAATAGCTTTCTATGTAGTAATTATCGAATAATCTACTTTCTATTTTTTTTTTAATTACCAAGCTTTTTCTGGGTTATTAGTTAATTATAACTTGAAACTGGAGCTCAGAACAATAAAAGGGAATCACATAGATTGAAATAGGCTTGGTTCGGGGTCAGAAACTTAGTCCAAAGTTCAAATTTAAATTATCTCTATTGTTGTCCATGTCTCCACTCCTCGCGAAGTATTACCTAATTAACTGGCTTAGCAAGGGTAAAGAGTTGAAGAATTCGGTACTTGCCAAGAGACTCACTTTCAGCTTCTATATAGATATAACTAAACTCATCTTTAGCCTGGCATGTACTCGGGCGCACTGCTTAAACTGGGCGTTAACGTTAAGTTTACTAAAAGTCAACCTTGTTCTAAAAAAAGGAGATGGGAAAGGAAGAAAGAAAAGAAAGTCATATAGCGGGAGTCGATAACAAACGCTTATTTTAGGTTGTATAAACTTCTTGTGCCCAATAGCGGTTCGGGTGCCACCTCTAACGGGCCGTAAACGGCGATGGCTATTCATTAAAAAATATTTTTAAGTTGCAATTATTTGTCTTTACTAAGAGGATTGTAGCTTACAAAATACGCGCATCTTCATCAACCTCCTCCTGGCTTTACTATACGTAGAAAGATATTTACAATCTCTCAAAGCTCGGATGTGTTACTGCCTAATATTGTAAACCCACTAACATTTTCGTTGCAAAGTAGCGGACCAAGGAAAGTACACAACCGCTGGCGAATCGACTAAGGCGGCGCTAAATGCAGATGTAAAACGTAATTTATTTAACAGAAATTAAAAGTTTACATTTTTGTAAAAGTAACTTTACCTTTTTAATACAAAGATCTAGTAATTGGGGAAATCGAGGTTCTTAGAGGTCACTTTAAAGACCCTGTTGGGCATACTTAGAGGAGTGCATGCTCTTTAGAGAACCAGCTGAAGTCGATTTTCTTTGAGATTTTTAACACCATCCAGGTTCTTAATTTAACAAAAAAAATTAAACACAATTTTTTAAAGTTGGTATTTCTCTAAGTCATTTTTTTTCTTTATTGGTCATGTCTTGCCACTTTAAAAGCTTTCTCGTTAATAAAATCCAATTTTTGTCTCGTTGAGAGAAAAATTCCTCGCAGTAATTTTAAAAAAAAAAGCTATGCAATGTCTTTTTTGGAAGTCGAGGGTCTAGATTCGTATGTTATGCTAGTAATCACACGAGCTCTCTAAGTCATCTTAGATTAGTATCTCAGTGTCCTTGTTTCTCGCTTACATGTAAGCAATGCGCTGTCTTAGATAAGCCAGTTTACTGCTGGTGCTCTGCAAAGGTCTCTGCACTTATCTCTATTTTCCGTGCTATGTGCGTTATACCCCAACTCCGGTAACTCGACGCACTAGCAAGGCACTTTATGCCAACAACAAGACAGCTGTCTAATGGCTCCTATGAATTAGTATGGTAAAGAACCAAGCGAAGCACACTGCATTGCCTCCTGTTTTTTTTAAGAGCAGGAGGCCTTTTTATCGTATGATGGGGAAAAAGTTTATATACACAATTAAGACCTTATCTACTATTGAGAAGTTGAGAAACATGGTTCTTTAAACCCTATTAAGTTTTAGCAGAAAAGTTCAAGCCTTCGAAAAATTTATAAACTAATTGGCAATATAAAAAAAAGAAACATTGAATATTAAATTTAATACTTGTTAATATGAAAGCTTTATACAAAATTACTACCCATATATATGCATAAGTAATTAATAGCGTAAGAGCAGATGGATGTGAAGGTCCAAATTTATTTTATATTTTTTCAGCCTTTCGTCGTTTGCTCGTATGGATACTAGTTGGCTCTACTGTTTCTGACCAGGATAGATTTAAAAGAAGGTCTGTTTTCTTAATTTTGAATAATTTTGGTATACTTTATTAGTCACTAATTACTAGCGTTATCCTTTAGAATGCCAACTGAATTGCAGTGGTACGCCTCGATCGTAAAAAAAAATTTCTGCAAAGTTTGGTGGCTTATAAGGCCAAATTGTAACATAATTTTACGGGAATATTTTTATATCATATAAAACTGGTTATTAATGTACTTTTATTTTGAAACACAAACTTTAATCTTAAAAGTACTCAGATTTTGCAATGGAAGCCTTAATTAGGCAAAATTTCTTTATTATAATTAAGCGATGTGTATAGCAATAGTTAAAATTGTAAGTAAGTATTATAATAAAAAACACTAAATGATAAGAGAAAGACTAGGCAACTATCCCAGTCTGCTATCATAGATACAATGCTTAAAGATTGTTATTAGAGTTTAAATGTGGCCTACCTATAAGAAGATAGTAGTAAAACTAGTAACAAATAAATGATTCTAAGTTGGCCCAAATACATAAAATGTGTAGACTGCCACGATATTTTATTTTGACAGATAAAAAGAGTAGTGAACGGTTAATTGTCCCGTAAAGTAAAAGGAGGAGTATTTATACCTTCAGATAGAGAAATAAATGTAATCCAAATATGGGACAGAAATAACACGTGGATGGCACGTTACTCGGTCACATGCATGAGCACTACTTACACCAATTAGACAAACACATGATATAAAAAAAATGGAATGTTTCAACTATTTGTTTCATTCATTTTTATAGTAAAACTTAAAAATTATCTATTTTTTAATTTCCTTGAAAAGAACTACCGAAAGAAGCTCTTATGACTGCATTTTTTTTAAGTGAGTTTGGAGTAATTTGGCGGGTCTAAGCGATGTCGCAACTGTTTAAGAAAGAATAAAGGAAAACAGCTGATTGTGGTGATCACCAGCAGTTTCCACAAAAAGGTAAATGAGCACACAAACTTGAGATCTGCATTAATAAAATTTTTCAAATATTAAATATATTCTCAGTGTTAACAACAAACTGTTTACCAAAATAATTGGTCAGGACAAAGATGGAGAGTATGTATGCTAGAAAGCTCCCGAATACTGATACCACCATTAACCAATGACTAATAAGCAGCACACGTTACAGGCAACTCGAAAATAATAGTAATTAATGCAGCTTCATACAAAGAAACGACCGTCAGTGCGACCATTAACAGCTCCGTCAGTATTAATGCAGTGAAGGAAATAGAAACAATATGTATAAACTCGCCAAAGTTAAAAAGTAACAAAGCGCCGATCATGATAGAGGCGCCTGAATTAAAATAAGAAAAAAAAATTTCTTAAGATAAGTTAGAAGAGCAGCAACCTTGGTAAGTACTTATTCCCACCCATGCAAAAAAGGTCTTCATAGTTAGCAGGCGCCCCTTAGTCAAGTCTTTATATAACTCGGGATACATAATGGCCAAACTCCTGGTTAAATCAACATCCAAAACTAATGAGAACACTGGAAGTGAGGTGTAAATAGTAGCATAGCCCACTAGAAGAGGTCCCTTTACTTAGCGTGTGAGAGCAGTACGTATAGGTAAAAAGACAGCCAGAAACCTGATAGAGAGAAATGGCTGAAAAGTAGAAGACTGCCGAAAAGACGGCTTGAATGACGGATATAATTAAGCCGCGGTGAATGACAAACTGAGCTAAAGCCGCCGAGCGCTTGTAGCTGGTGCGCCCGTGCCATACTGAAGTGGAGGCGAAAAAAGAAGTACAAAGACACATGACATTAAAGGATAATAGATACAAAAAAGAGGGACAATGTGCTTGAATTTAGTGATGGAAATATCAGCGGCGAGGGAAGCTTGCTTTCCTTCTTTCCCAACAATGCCGATACCAATATCAGCCGCTATGGGGGGGAATGGGTTCACTACTAAACACTACCAGTTTAGAAAAAAACATTGGATCATGGAAACATCGTTTCCGCCGTCGCCAATGGCACAAACTTGGGCGTCCGAATAGCGCTTAATAAGTTTCACAATTTCCGCTTTTTGGGTGGGAGTGCACCGGCAGCATATAACTGTCGGGCATTTACTGGCTACTTCTATAAAGTCTTCTTCAAAAAAACTCAGGAAAAGCTGGAAGCAAAATAGTTTTTGTACATATACTCAACTTTATCAAGTAGTTATAATAGGGAAAACCTGCAAAGTTGACCCGTCAATAACTAAAGCACAGTTTTCCTTTTTTTTAAAAGTATATAGTTCCTTGATTGCTTCCTTTTCATTATTAACTTTTATAAATATTTGATACACGTTAATATTAATAAAAGTAAAAGTTGTTATGTTGGTGATAAAACAAAATTTATATTACATAATATCGTAATATAAAAAATTGAATCATTGCATGATCCTTATAAAACAACTATCCCTATTTTTATAAGTACTACTAAATACTAAGTAATATATAGCCGATAACTAAACGTTATAATATAGCTATACGTAACGATGAATAAAAGAATGGCCCGCCTTTTGTTCTTTTTCGATAAAAATTTTATCAAAATCCTTTTTATTACAAACAATAATTTTAGCGAACCTTGTGCAAATTGGTGGATCTCTTGGGACCGAGAAACCAGTCTTGTGCTAATGGCTATGCATGTGGCTGTCTCCATTTTATCGCTGTGGCACGTAACCCTCACCTTGGTAACTACCGAACGGGTCACTTACTAAAAAGAGTACCCCGTAAGCATCCATATGCGGATGCCTGCATCTTTAAGCAATTCAAGAGTTGGCTTGATGTCTTCTTGTAGCTTGTCTCGCACGCCAGTAACGCCCTTGATATTACAGCATATTCGCATAAAAACTAAATGATAAAATTAATTTATATACCAAGACCATAATAATACTCACTAAAAGTTCCATTCCATGTTCTATACTTTGAATAACTCTTCTTACGTTCTCTTGTCTGCTTCCAGTACTGCACTTTGCCAATGTATACTCTCTACAGCGAGACATCAACAATTACATGAGCTCAATATTTATTTAATAACGCAACGAATTAAAAGCGGTGTATTCTTCTAAGGAAAAAGTCTTCCGAGCCACCACCAGCGTTCGCAGCCCCTCCCGTGCCATGTTATCGCATTCCTCTTGCAACCTATTACAGGACTTCATTGAGTGAAATCTGTAAAATGATCTTTCTATATTACCAATCGGAGTGCATGACAATCTTCGACATAATCACATCAGCGCCTTTCAACAAAAATACAATCTCGCCGGAACTCTCTTCCTTGGCAATGACGCCCATTCGCTTCGTCTCTGAAGTAAAAGCAAAGACATGCAGAATCTGTTGGCTTTGTAAAGAGAAGGGAAGTAGTCAATCAACCGAATAAAAAAAACCTCGTAACCAATAGAGAGGTTTTCGCAATCAACCTCAAGCACTATACGGTGTAGATCACGATACACAAGCCGTAGTCCAAGTTCCGCTATAGATCACGTGAGAAAGGGGAGTGGAGCAGCACAGGATGCCGTTGAGTTTCACCTGTCCAGTTAACTAAGGCAATTTCATCTGGAGAAGCAGCTTGATAGCCAATGGTTTCGCCGTTATCAGAGATTGGCGTTACATTGTGACAAAGTGCCAGTGCAGTGACGACGTTTTTGATTCGAGAACTTCACACAGTTATAAAACTCATATAAGTTAATACAGACAATAAAAATTTACTTGATAGTAACAGAGTTCGAGTTTGCTAAAAGTGATTCACTGGAAGGACTGGAACTTGACTTCGAGACTACAGAGAGAATAAATAATGTAAACCAATGGCATTGTAGCTTTTATACCAAGTTTAAGGCTAGAAGTCAGCGCCTCTTTAACGTCTAAAAAGGTTTCTGAATTGAAGGAGACAGTACCCATGTGCAGTCGTTCAAACAGCATTTCTAATAATAATAAATTAATAATAATGATAATAATTAATATATAAACAAAATAACCATTTTGCGTTAATGTGCCGGTTTTGTCACTTAGCAGGTAATGGATTCTCCCGAGCTCTTCGGGGATACTCGAAGTCCGGACAACGGTGCCCGGAATACCTTTATCTGTTACCGATAATATAATACATACGCTGAGGAGTTAATAAGAGAATGAACCTTTTTCGATGGTGTAACTATAGAAGACCTTGGCAAAGTCAAGGTTAACCCGAAGACTTATAGGGATAATGTACGAGAAAAGCAGCACAAACCGGAACATATACACGTACCAGACTTCATTAAGGCCCTAGCATTGTATAGAACGACGGTAGTCTAGCAAATCTATGAATGCAGGAAGAAGAAGAACCTTCAGGGCCACTAGAACAAATGAGAGGACGAGCGTCAAAGCGAAAAGCATTTTGGTTAAAACATTGATCTCACGGTCCAACAGGCCAATTTTGTTGGCGGGAGGAGATGTGTTCATCACACTATAAAAATTGAAGGAAGTTTTAACTTATACAGAAGTAATATGAACGGCCATTGTGTAATATCCATAAGCTCATCACTCTCTATTAAGTTATTACCTGCGAGTTTCCTTGCCGGTGTATATAACACAGCAAAGGGCAGTGCCAGAGGCCAGTACCGTATTGGCCCAGAGCATGTTTTCCACGCTTAAAGGCTCAGTGGGACGCCCAGAGATCATGAAGTTACCTATAATAATGAAAAGTACAAAATAGAGGAGCCTTGCTAAAAAGTTTTATTAAAACAATGTTAGAAATTTGTAACTTTGCATGTGTTATAACTATTACATGATTTTAGCTTTATATATGATAAAAAAGTCAGCAATGGTGTATAAGAAAATATGCAAATAAACCAATTAGCCAAGCTTTTATTTTGAACTGGTTATATATATATATATAGTTTAGCGATCGTGTGTATCAAAATCAATGGGTAGAGCTTAAACGACTTTAATGCTTTTAAATGCGAAGACAGCATGTCTATTTTAATACTGTTAGCTAACTTTAGGCTACTGTTGTAGGATGCGCATTGGCTTTAAAGCGGACCTCAATATAAAAATTAAAGAGGAGAAAAATAATTTAACGCCTTTTATTGTTGTTATTCAAAGTAAACTAGCAATACGTAAGGCAATAATAACAAAAAATAAGTTTCAATAGTAATAATCATGTTACCATTAATTAAATAATGATGAGAATTTATAAAGTATATACGCAAAAAAACAGGCGAAGAAAAGTGTTAATAGTAGTGCACATTTGTTTAATTTTATACTTAAATAAACGCGTCAAACAGCACAACTATAAAAAAGAGTTCGTACCAGTGAAATAGTGAATATCTTTTGTTGGCTTATCGGCAAACACAGTGGCGTCCATAGAGAAGACCTCCTCGTCCCTCTTGACCATTTGGCAGGAGGGCACCGCAACCCGCAACTTCCAGTCCGTCTCCCCGTCCAATTGATCGGTGCGGATAAAGCACGAGCCGGACTGAATGAGATAATACAAAATATGTCTCACGATACAAAAGTTGCATATGAAAATTAAATTCATAATAAGTTTGTTATATATCATTTTTTCATTAGCAAAAAAAAGACCAACACTCCTAATCTAGATAAGGTTTGCTTACTACAATAAAGAAAGTTGAGAAACTCAATACTAACTTTGTCAGAAGTTCTCAACAACAAACAATCTGCGGGGACCCTTTGATTCATTTCAAGTAGAAGCACGTCGCCCACCTTTAAATCTGCGCTTTTAATTTCTTCAAAGCTTTCTACACGCAACTTCTTATAAACGGAAGAATTCACTATAATAAAAATTTAGAAAGCAAGTTAATAACAACAAAGGAGAGTAACCCTCGCAATCTCTGCGGAATCTCTGAAAGTCATCGTAAGCCTCCTTGCTGATAGTAACAATCAACACAAACAAAAGGGGTCCCCAGTAAGTGTACAAATTTCCAATTTGAAATACTTTTATAAGCTTAAAAAAAACTTAATTTAAAAAAACTATTAATTCGTCGTATGAATTACCTGAGATAAGGCAACCAATAAAAAGTACAAGTTAAAAAAGTACTTGAACTGATTAAGTAAAACCAACGGAAGAAATGTGAGCACGCTGTACTTTTGGTTGCAGATGATGTTACTGGGGAACGAACGTTTGCAAGGAGAAGCGCTTAGCTTAAATGTTCGCGGTTTTTTGGGGGAAAATCCGTCAGTAATGTGCTAATAAGTTATAAACAATAAAGCCATAAATCAAGTAAGAAAAATATAATTTTCAAATATATATTTAAAAAAAATAGTAAAAAACTTATTACAAGGAAAACAGGATAACAACTATTTTCTAAACTTGAAGTTCCAGTTTTAAGAATTACTTTTTGATAATAATAAGAAATATTGGAGCTGGAAATTAATTAAATCTACAACGTCGGTAATGGCTAATAACTAAAACAAACTTTTATAAAAGATTCAAAAAATACTTAAAAGACGATGTTGCGGATAACTAAAGGATTTACGACTATAAAACCTTTACGTTTTTTTTTAACCGAATAAAAGTTTCCTTCACGGAGTTGTATATTTTTTCAAAAAGGTTAACTTTTTTAGTTTTGGTTCTTTTACAAAAATATTCTTCAGTATCCTCTTGAGACCCTTAAGAAAGTAAAGAAAAATTGTTTATATTAAAAAACAAGGGTATATAGAGGTAATAGGAGATTGGCCTTGTACAGTTTTGTGGCCAGTAAAAATTATATAAAATTTTATTGTTAACAAAATGTATAACCTTGCTCTTGTAAGGTTAACTCTTTCTTGTTTAAAAATTGCAGGTCATACGAAGATTGAAAAAGAAAAGGTTCCTCCTGCTTAATATATTTACAAGAAAATTAAAAAATTTGCTGGTAGATTAAAGAGACATTCTTAGCAAGGGTGGAATTATACACATCTTAACTTCTTTATGTTCCAGGATTATTGTTAAAAAATGAACCTGGTCTAAAAATAAGGTTAACTCTTCCGAAGAGGAATCTTCACGCAGAGTATGGATATGCTTAGGAAAGTGCATTATGTTCCCCTTAGAGGGCATTATAGTCAACTTACCACTAAATAGAAGTATTTATAATAAAAAAATATTTTCTCCAATAATTAATATATTATAGGATATATGTTTCAAATACCTTGGTAATAAAGAAGATCCCACTACAATATATAAGCTAGCGTTATTTCATGTTATTTCATAGGAAAGCTATGTCACGACTTTAGACTAACAGCGGGTAAGATAAAGATGTGGGCTAGTACTTTTAACAGTGTCCTTTGGCTCTTTGGTTTAGTTAAAACTTTTGTTTACTCTGTTACGAATAAATAGAACAAAGTATAAATCTTAACTTTGTCAGCTTAATATAACTAGTAGATCGAGTAAAGGTTCAAATTCGTTATAGTTAATATTATTTTGTTTAAGCTCTTCAAGCAATAAAACCGTTATTTTATATAACTATAATTATAGTTTAAATTTTACTTAGAGTTTAGGTTAAAAACTAGTTGAACAATATTTTCTTAATTATAAGACTAAAAATTGGTTTTAGTAATGTATTTTTACTAAAATATTTATTCTAATTATGTTATATTTTACTTTAACTTGGAAAGAAAAAGTTGGTGAAATTTTATAATAACTATTACGGAGTAACTGCGCTCTACGGAGGAGGGGTGGGTGGGTGTGCCGGAGGCTGAGATAGTTATTTAGACGAGCGGGCTTAACGGGAAACATTAACGTCGTGTACGTAAACGGTTATAAAGGCGAAACTTTAGTAATTCTTTTCCAAAGCTCCAATTCCCGTAACCTTAATTTTTTTTTCTAGAGTTCTGTCCGAAATTATATTTTATTATGATAGCTACAGCATCACTTACAGTTTTACTAAAGCCCGATAAAGGTTTAGTTATAGTCTTATTTATGTGTATTAAGGAACTATTATAATTTGCTTTATTAAGTTTTTTATAGAAGAAATTAGTTCCATTTATATAGTTTCAAAAAGGTTTACTTGAAATGCTTTAACTTTTGCTAAAAAGCAAAGTTAATTTTTAGGTCGTCCGCTTTCTAATATTTTATTGCTTTCTAGTACTATTGAAACTAGAATAAGATGGGAGCCATAGACATTAGTTGTCTTTCTTATAAATAAATGTTTGGCTAGCTCCTTTTTGATTAATTAGTCAACATACATAGTACAATATTAAGCAAACTTCAGTAAAAACACTAATCGCTTAGCCTTTCATGTTAACTTGTCATCCACATTAGTGTGGTTTCATATAAGTATAAGAGTTATTACAGCCAAAGATATAGTTTATAATATATATACTATCTTTCCGTTTTTGGAACTAGATAAATGTTAATTAACTTTTATAGATATGTGCGATTGTCTCTAAGAAACAAATCAGATCTTTTAAATTCCATGTTGAATTTATGATTTATTTTTTAGGTACTTGCTAGCAAAACTTTAATAACAGGGGTTTTTTCAGGTCTCCCTAGGATAAGGTTGGTTGTGATAGGAGTTTTGAAGGTTTAAATGTTTAACAGTAAATTAGGCGCACACTCCCATGGTTTGTTAACCTCTGCAGATGATTTATGGAGACAGGTCTCCTTATCAATAAGCTATTTTTATAGTTAGCGAAAGTCTATAAATCTATTTATATACTAAAAGATTTTAAACTATTTCCACAATGATATTCTGAAAGCAACATAAACCTTATTATGACCCAATAAAGCTAATACTAAAAATAATCTTAAGCTGAACTTCTGTATTGTATCTTATTTTTGTATAAAAAAATTACAGTTGTTTATACTATTTATTTACTTTTTTTTATAATTAAAGTTAGAATTAGGTAAATTATTTAATTGTGGTTATAGGATTTCAAATATCTGGTAACTGTAACCTAATTGAATTTTTCTTTTTAGGTTTGAAAGGAACTTAAGTTTCTTAGTACTTATGGTGTATTACACTTTACAAAACAATTGTATATTGTAAGCTACTATAACACCTATAAATTTTATTGAACTTTTCGAAGGTTTAGCTTAGTCTTTATTTAACATAATATTTTATTTTACTAAGTAATTTGAACTTATAATTAGATGTTATAAAAGTCTTATTTTTTTTTAGAGTTATGAATATGCAAACAACACTAACAATTATTAAAAACTTGAAAGGTAACGTCAGTTTTTTTGGCTCTTATTACACTGGAAAATATAGATTTTGTACGACAAACTATTTAGATATAAAAGATCCTATAAAACATATAAATAGAAGAGCACCAAAGAAAGTATAATAAGGTCATAGAGTAAAGAGTACTAAATAGCACGGGCGCTTGAAGTGCAAAGTAAAAAAAATAAATCAAAGTAACGTAATGTAGCCAATTAGTAAATTATTTATACTACTACTAAGAAATATACCAACGGAAGTATACAAAACGTCTCATTTGGCCGCAAAATCTACCTTACAAGATTTTATAGTTTGAAGTATATATAAAATATATATCTGATAACATAGATTGTAATAAGTAAAAGGTAGAGTTAACGTTTATTTTAAGCAAGAAATATATACGAATGGACTAAAAAAATGCATACAAAGGTTCGAATTCACCATCACAGTTTAACTTAAACCCCTACCAACAATAAACGAAGCTATCAACCATTAGAAAAAATAAGAAGTAAAAAAAAAAAATTTATGAATCCCCTACAAAAAATACTTTTTAGTTTAACCGACAACCTTCTTAAAAGTCCAAAAGCTACTAAAAATCTAAAAATTTCTCGTAAGAATCTGCAGGTGGCCCGCGACGGGCACCGGACAATGAATTTGAAGATTTTCCTAAAGTAAAAGAGCCGAAACTCTTTTATTAAATCTCTATCCTTTTATGTGGCCTGACTAGTTTACCAATAGGAACCATTTCAGGAGCTATCCCTAAAAACTTACAATTGTTAACTTTACGACTTCCGTTCTCAGAACCTTCTGTGCCGTGTCCTAACGTTTCATTTTGTTTATCCAAGGTGATATTACCACCCTTTTTATTAAGACATTAACAAAATCTAAAAAGGTTGTCCACTTCCTGCCAAAGGCTCTAGTATATTCGGGTTATCTAAAGCATCAAATATCGGACTTTCAACTTTAGTGGGTTTATCAGCACATTGATAATCCATAAAAATATCTCAAGGTTCCTCTTTTGATGTAATCATGCACATCTTTGCTCTTGATCCAGTCGCGTTACAAAGCGTATAAGGTTGTCTTACCCCAGTGGCACGTTTCCCAAAGGATCTTCGGGTGAATTTATCCTGCGCAAATATGTTTCAAAAAAGAAAAATGTTTGGTCAAACTCATGTTCATAACCTCAGCTTGAGAAAGCCTACATTACATTTCTGTTGAGCTGTAACTCAATTTTAACAAGGCTTAAAATATGCGTGAGTGGCATTAACATCAAGAGTCAAACCCAACTTATTCAAATAAGTATTTCTGGCTTCAATAAAAATTCTTGGGGTGAAAAACGTTTATGCCATTCAATAATTTAGATTTTAAACATTTTATTAGCTTCAATCCTCCTGCCAGCGTCTTTAAAATTGATATTGGACCGGCTAGAAAAAAAGTTGTAGCTAAAAACAATGTCAAGTAGCTTGAAATACACTAAATTTTCCTTTATGCTTTAGGAGATCTTGCATCAACGCATCATTTCTTTAAAACCTGTTTAACCTTAACTATCCTTTTAGGCCTCTCCTCAAGCATCTTGATTTCTTTATACAATTTTTCTCTTTCTTCATATATAGTAGCTCCTTTTGAGTATACAACTGAAATAAAAGTAATACCTTTAAAAAATTTTCTATTTTCTGGAGCTGTTTTAAAGAGGGCAGTACATGACCACTTTTTAAAAATGTTCTCTAAACCTTTTAAAAATTCTTCATTAGTATGTTTAAATCTTCTACTAACGACATCAGTCATACATCTAAAAGGAAGCCTTACATATGATTATCACCAAGGAAAAGAAAGTTGAACGCATATAACTCTTGAAAGAAACAAGAATATTGACACTTGTTCTCTTGAAAACGTGGTAACTTCAAAGTAGAAACATTAACTCGGAAAATTTGAGTATGTTCGAATATACTCGTCTACAAATATGTCCATAGCCTCGCATTCCCCCACAATTTCTGTGTGGATGAAACCCTTTTCAAGCTTATCTTTAAAGCGGAGCTAATTCCTTTATTATATTGCACTAAGTTAGTTAACGTTTGCAATATTTCAATATCCCAACTGGTAGATCTTTAATTGTACCCAGAGGAAGAAACGAAAATCTAGGTTTCTACGAATTGAACACAGCACACTACGAAACTGACTGGGGAGGTAATGGACATTAACGCCCCCTTTCAAAAGAAATGCTCTCAATGCTATCTCTAAAACAATATAAAACAAAAAAATTACAATCAGAAGAGAAAAAACTATTAAAAATGTTTCAAACATTCGTTACAACCTTTCTGCGAAGAACTCATGTTTTACAACAGGAAAAACCAACCTTCTCAACATTCATCTCGAAAATACTCCGTGAGATGCCAAAAGAGTAATTTTAACTCTACACGGTATCCGTATGAGGAACACATAGTTTCCAGGCTCTTAAGGACACTTTGAATTTTATCTCTTTTACGGAGCACTAGCCGTTTTCCCGAAACAAAGTGTAACCATGATAAATACTCGTTAGTAAGCCTCCAGAGTAATGTGAATAAAAACTATTTTTGTACAGTCTAAAACAATTTACTAGAGTAATGTAACAGTTAATGTTGTCACTACAAAAAATTTTGTAGCCAACTTGTTGTTTTTAATAAAAGAAGTAATGGTATTGCAGTTACCTGCAAGATTATAAAAAATAAACTGTGGGTATTTTTAAAGCCGGAACTTTGAAGGAAAGTGTCGTCAATAAAAATTGTTTCAATAACTTTTTCCAAAAACTTCAATAGTTATGTCTTCTTTTATAAATTTGAAGAGGCTAAGGCTCAGGTATCGTTAATTTTGTTTAAAACTTTTAACTTTTCGTAAATTATAAGATTTCTTTATTATTAAAGCTTGGAAGATAAGAAACCCCTCTATATTTTTATCACCAAAAAACATTTGAGAGCTGGATAACAAATCCTTAAATAATTATCCAATAATAAAATGACTTTCATACTTGATTGTTATATTCCTTGCCGTCAAATTTTCAAAAAAAACAGAAGAATTTAAATGAGTTAT